TCTCCAGCAGCCCAGTTCCTAGTTTCTCCCTGCTTCCTGTGTGTGATTCACTGCCCAACATCCCCTGCCCCCTTTACTGAATCACATTTAGATCATTCCAGAGTTTTTTTTTTAAAGATTTTATTTTTTTATTAATGAGAGACACAGAGAGAGAGGCAGAGACACAGGCAGAGGGAGAAGCAGGTTCCATGCAGGGAGCCCGACATGGGACTTGATCCTGGGTCTCCAGGATCACGCCCTGGGCCAAAAGCAGGTGCTCAACTGCTGAGCCACCCAGGGATCCTCATTCCAGAGTTTTTAATAAAATACTCATCTGATCATTTCTTATAACTCTTAAATTATGTCTTCAACACGTCCTAGAAATCCTACATGTCCCAAGTCACTGTCTGTACACTTCTCCATAAAGGCCACCTCAAGCATTCTCCTCTCTCCTCTGGCCTTCAGTGCTTCGTCTGCAGTGGATGACATCTGGTCCGCGAGTACCTGGAGGTTGAAACCGTCGGCTATGACTTCATTAACTTCCCACCTCCCTCCCTGCAAACATACTTAGTGCTTTTCTTCCTCATTCTTTTCCTGGGAGCAGGACCCTGCTGTCTTCTATCAGCTTCTATCTCCACTGTGATGTGGATCACCTCTCCTCTGACTTCCTCATTGACCTGCTTTTTGAGCATCTCTACTACTTCATATTTTTCCACTTCCCCTATCGACTTCTTCCTGTCACCACTGAAGCAGGATAAAGCCTGTTCCGCCTAACATTGGAGCCCAATGATATGCTTCCTTGATCTGCTCTCTGGTTGCCTCCTGGGTCTTCTTTGTAGGCAGCTCCTACTTAACAATTCCCGAATGATCTGTTCTGCAGGATTCTCCTCAGTCTGTCTTAAAATTCTTTTGCTCTTCTCTTTTGAGTCCTCATTCATCTTTCCAGAAGCTTTCCCCCTATCTCTTCATTTGGTTAACTTTTACTCATGCTTTAAGCTTCAAACATCACTTCCTCAAGGAGGTCTTCTGACCCTTACATTAGGGTCCTGACTATGTACATCTCTACCTCCCTTTCCTTCTCCTGTTTTGACATTCATGATGGCAAGTCTTCTTACACCTATTTCCCCTGCTGGTCTTTATAATCTGTGAGGGCAAGATTTTCATCTTCCTTACCACAAAATCATCAATATCTAATAAAGTGCTAGCACACGGTATGCATTTGTATTGGTTTTTCACTGCTGCATAAAACATTGCTACAAATTGAACAGCTTAAAACAACATGTGTTATTTCACACTTCCTGTGAATCAGGAGTCCAATCATGACCTATGCGGGTCCTCTGCTCAGGGTCTAGCAAGGCTTTAAGGTAAGAATTTGCTTCTAAGCTTATTCAGGTTGTGGGCACAATTCATTTCCTTCTGATACCAGATGCTCGCTTTTTGCTGGCTCCCCGCTAAAAGCTGCCCTCGGGTCCTCGAGGCTATCCCTTGTGCAGCGTGGTCATCCATACATAGTTCTTTGCCACGTAGGCTTCCTCAGTGTGGCTGCCTACATCCCCAAGCCAGTGGGAAGAATCTGTCTTGTGCATGTTAGCAAGGTGGATGTGTGTGTGTGTGTGTATGTGTACACGATGTTCAAGTTATGTATTAACATGATTATAAGAATGACATCCCATAATTTTGCCATATTCTATAAGTTCAAAGTTCAAAGGAAGTTAGGGTCTGTCCTGGGCTTAGGGTCTGTCCAAAATCTTCAATACAATTTCATCAAATAATACATTTATTGGATCCTTATCTCCCACACAATAAATACTCATGCAAGTCTTATATGTGCAAGGCTTATATAATAAGGCTTTTCATTATATAATTTCTGTTTATCTTTCTACCTGGTTCTTAACACTTCCACTGTAATACGTGGTTGCTGTTCTACAAACACACAATGTTGTTTCATATATTTATGCATTTACAGAAGCCTTTCTCTCTTTTTGAATTATTTTTTCTCTTTTTCTCTCTTTTTTTTTATGCCAGACAACCTCTTTCCCCTTCTCTAAGACCAAGGTAAAGTGTAAGTTTTTGGATGTGCCTTCCTTACACGCAATATAGACTGAAGTATCTTTAACCTTATGCTCTAAGGCACATCACTCAATTTTAATAATTTTTTCTCCCACATTTAGAAACAAAACAAATGAGCATAGGGAAAAGAGAGAGAGAGAGAAAGGCAAACCAAGAAGCAGACTCAACTACAGAAAACAAACTGGTGGTTGCAGAGGGGAAGGGATGGGGGAATGGGTGAAATAGGTGATGGGGATTAAGGAGGGCACTTGGTGTGATGAGCACCAGTGGTGTGTGGAGGTATTGAATCAGTATATTGTACTCCTGAAACTAATATTATACTGTATAGTAACTAACTAAAAATTTAAAATGTGCTCCCACATGTTAGTATGAAAAATTTTAAACATGCAACAAGGCTGAAAGAATTTTACAGTGTACACCTGTAGCTCCATTACCTGGATTCTATCACCGAGTAATCTATTTTTTAAATTCATATCTTGCATTGATGTGTGGTATATTTGTTATAGCTGATGAATCAATACTGTTAGTAACTAAAGTCCATAGTTTATGTTAGGGTTTGCTCTTTATGTTATGTAGTATTAGGGATTTGGACAAAGGCATAATGTCATGTATCCATGACACTGACATGATAATTATAGTATCCTACAGAATAATTTCACTTCTCTAAAACTGGCCTGTTCTAACCTGTTCATCCCTGTCCCCACTCCCCAAACTCTGACACCACTCATCTTTTTATTGTCTCTATAGGTTGCTTTTTGAGCATCTCTACTACTTTATATTGTCATTCTAGGCCTATGTCTATATTGTCTAGGTCTATGTCTATATATGTCTATATTGTCTGCCTCCTTATATTGCCTTGTCTACTACTTTAAAATGTCATTCATTGGCACCATACAATAATTGATATTTTTCGGCTTCAATGCTTAGTCATATGTATTTAAGGATTCTCTGTGTCGGGGAATCCCTGGATGGCTCAGCGGTTTAGTGCCGCCTTCAGCCCAGGGTGTGATCCTGGAGTCCCGGGATCGAGTCCCACGTCAGGCTCCCTGCATGGAGCCTGCTTCTCCCCATGCCTGTGTCTCTGCCTCTCTCTCTCTCTCTCTCTCATGAACAAATAAATAAAATCTTTAAAAAAAGGATTCTCTATGTCTTTCATCTTTTTTTCTTTCATCTCTTGATAGCTCAATTTTTAAAAAATCATTGAATAATACCTATTCCAGTGTGAATGTACCACACTTTGTTTACTATTTACTTATTTAAGGACATCTTGGTTGCTGCCAAAGTTTGGTAGTTATGACTAAAGCTGTTGTAATTATTCATCTGTAAGATTTTGTGGACATAAATTTTCAATTCATTCAGGTCATACCCAGGAGCGCGATTGCTGCCTCATATGGTAAGATTATGTTTAGCTTTGTAAGAAACCACCAAACCATCTCACAAAGTGTCTGTACATTTTGTATCCCTATCAGCAACAAATGATAATTCTTGTTATTTTACAACCTCACCAACATTTGGTGTTCTGTGCCTCAAACTTTAGCCATTCCACTAGGTGTGTAGTGGTATCTCATTGTTGCCTTAATTTGTCATTCCCTATTGTATGTTGATAATCTTTTCATATGCTATTTGCCATCTGTACACCCTCGTGTTGTTATGGACTGAACTGTGTCCTCCCAAAATTCATACGTTGAAGCCCCAAGCCCCAAAGTGACTGTATTTGGAGATAGGTCCTATAAGGATATAATTTTGGGGAAATGAGGCCATTAGGATGGGGTGCTATTCTGATAGGATTAGTGTCCTTATAAAAAGAGACACCAGAGAGCTGGCTCTTTTTCTCTGTACACATAAATACAGAGGAAGTGCCACATAAGGACACAGTGGTCTACAAGCCAGGAAGAAAGCTCTCACCAGAAAATGAATTTTCTGGCACCTTAATCATGGACTTCTAGCTTCCAGCACTGTGAGAAAATAAATGTCTGTTGTTTAAGCCCTGGAGTCTGTGGTATTTTGTTATGGCAGCCTGAGCAGATGGATGCATTTGGGAAGGTACCTGTTCAGAACCCACTTCTTAATTGGGTTTCCATGTTCTTGTTGTTGAGTTTAAAGATTTCCTTATATATTTTGAATCCAGATCATTTAATGGACAATGTGTTTTGCAAATATTTCCACCGAGACAGTGATAGAGGTAGAATTTTAGCTCTGACTACCTTGTTTTAAAATCGCCTACTTAGGAACCTATCATCCCCCTTAGTCTATGGACTCTGAAGGCAGAGCAGTGTGTTCACATTTAGGCATCCTCCATAGTGAGCACAGAGCCTAGCACAAGTCAGACATATAATATAGATCATAGGCTGGCTGGTTGAATAAATGAGTGGGTAAATAGTGACATGAGAGGAAAAGCTGATATAACTCAAGGAGGAGGTCAGGGTCAGGCAGAGGGGTCAGGCCAGCACCAGAAGGCTGGGTTATGGTGGCTGGAGACAAATGACTGTGTCACACAATCAGGGGATAGCATCACACAGATGGGAGGGGTCCCTGTCCCGAAGGTAGTAGCATAGAAAAGGGCCTGATTTCAGAGTTTGACAAAAGGTAGACCAGAGAGGAGGGGGCCGTGGAAACACTGTGAGCTCCAACATCTCTCAGATTAGGTATGTTTTTCCCCTGAAAAAGGAAAGCAAAATGCTGAATTCCAGATCCATTCTCTACTGTGTCAGGGACCAAATCACCTGATCTCCATTCTTGTCCTTCTGATACCTGACACCATCCTCTCTTCTGACCTATAGATACCTCTCCTGGAACTGAATCCTGCCACTGAAAGAATTCAGATATTTTTGTTTTCAATTCTAGAACCCTTTCTTGCTATATATTACTCAGACTTTTTCTAACCCTCCTCTCCATCCTTTCTAGAGACCCTGAACTGAACTTCATCCTTTGAAAAGGCTTTTGATATCAATATGAAGTTTATCCTCTTCTGGGCTCTTTTGAACCTATCTGGTGAGTATCTTCACATTTTTCTCTTTCCTTGCCAAAGAGAAATCCTGGAGGAATCATGAAAGATAGACAGACACAGACAGGAGGCAGAGGCACATTCCGGACTACAAGTGTAGAACTGGCTCTCCCTCACCGCTGTCATGATCCCCACCAGCTTTCCACCTGTGACACTGCCTGCCTGCCCCATCTCAGCTTGATTGCTTGTATGGTCTTTGAGGAGGCATGTACACCGAAACCCTAATACCAGACCCACTCCTGAGAAAGACTGTGACCCGACTCTGGGCCCTTCTAGAAGAGGACTGTTGTGGGCACAAGGGAATGAGAATTGGAGGCAGGTGTTGAAAGCAGAGGTTCAACTAATGGACACAGCAAAGCATTCAATGGTTTTTGGTCTTGTCCTGGCAGGTTTTAGTTACTCAAGCAAAAACCTTAGAGGCATTCATGAAATCTCTTTCTCTCACACCCCACATTCAATCTGTTTGGAAAATTTTTTTGGTTCTATCTTCTAAATATATCCCAAATCCAATCACATCTCACCACCTCCACTGCTCACGATGGCCAAGCCATCATCTTTTGCTTGGATTACCACATGAATCCTCTAACAGGCCTCTCTGCTTTCTACTCCTACACTCAGTATTTCTCCACAAGGAAATGACCATCAGTGCCTTACACAAAACCCTAAAGTGGCTTCACAGTCCTTCAGAAGAAAGTCCACAACCTTATGATGCTCTACAAAGCCCTGCATCACTGCTTTGACCTCCATCCTTTCCTGCCCTTCTCCCTCTCACCTGCCACCTCAGCCACACTGGCCTTTGTGATGCTCCTAAACAAGTCTTAGGACTCTTGCTTCAGCTATTTCCTCCACCTGAAACCCAGTTCCCCAGATATCTGATGGTCTAACTCTCCTATCTTCATTTAATTTGTCATCTCTCATGCTATCTACATGGTCTACCTATACTAAGGTGTAATATTGCAGAATTCCCCACCACACACACACACACACACACACACACACACACACACATCCATCCGGTACTGTCTTTTCCTCTTTCCCTGTTCTACTATTTTTCCCACAGTACCAATCATCATCTAATACACTAGATTATTTACTTATGTATTGTGTCTACTGTTATGGAATGTCTTCTCTCATCAGAATGTATGAGAGCAGGGCTATTTCTCTGTGTAGTTCCCTATATAGCCCAAGCCACCTATAACAAAGCCTGGCACATATGAAGTGCTCATACTTGCTTGTCGAATGAATAAATTATCTCCCTCTCCTCAGATTCCGTGAGCAGGTAGTCCTTTCTTTAAATCACTCTTATATTGTTTTTCCCTGCATTGTTGTAGAGAATAAGGAGTGAGACTAGTAAAAGCATTCTTAAAAAGGTAAAAGCATTAAGTTCCTCATGAGTAGATTTAACATATGTTCCCTGAATTGTAGCAGGTATTTAAGAACATTTGTATTTTAATCTGAAAAATATTTAGTGACAACAAAATGAAAAACACCTTTATCTGTTGAAATTGAGATGTTCCTATCATTTTCTTCATGTTTTTAGAACAAACTAAGCCAGTTTGCAAATTCAGCTTACAGATAAAGGTATTAGAGAGAAAGGTAGGGGAACCTGAGCATATTAAATAATTTTCCTTGTTTTTTTCTAGTGATCCCTGCAAAAATCTCAGAATTTCCTGTCTATGTTTCTCTTTCCAGTTGCTCTGGCCTATGATCCAGATTACCAACATGGCACTGCTCCCCCCTACCTGGTCTACTTGAAATCTGATTACTTGCCCTGTGTTGGGGCTCTGGTCCACCCTCTTTGGGTGATCACAGCTGCACATTGCAACTTACCGTGAGTAATAAGCCCCCAGTGCTACTTTGCACTTTAGGTTCTCAGATTGGGCATAGACTCAGATCCCTGCCTGGCTCCATTCTCTAATGAAGTGGGATTAGGGAGGCCTTCTGAGGGTGTTCATTGGTAGAGAAAAAGGCCCATAGGAAGGGTCTAAAAGAGGCCCATGGGAATGGATACGTTATCTCTGTCAAGTCTTCTCTCAAACAACTACATTGTTCCAGAAAACTTCGGGTGATGTTAGGGATTACAAATCCATCAAATCCTGATGAAAAGGATGTACAAGTTGTTGGCTATGAGAGGATGATCCATCATCCACGCTTCTCAGTTACTGCTATTGAGAATGACCTCATGTTAATCAAGCTGAGAGAAAATATTGAACTCAATGACTATGTGAAAGTGGTCAGTCTGCCTGAAGAACCTGTCCGTGAGGAAGCCATGTGCATGGTCTCCACGTGGGCCTACAATCTATGTGATGACTGTGAGTCACCTCATGATAATCTTTTCTCTCAGAGTATGACACACTCTGTCCCTTCTCTTCTCTTACCTTCTGCAATTGTTCCCAAAAAAGACTTCTTTCCAACCTCTTAATTCATTCCTTTCCCTGTACTTCCCTGAAGGAGTCACAGATGTAGTTAGTTAAGCATTTAAATTTCTAGAAAATTTTAAAGTAATTCGTTTCATTTAATGCAGAGATGCCTCATATTTACATATAAATTCCAGGAATTTAATCTCTTTTATAAAAAGATAGACACTTGTATCATGAGAAATGGTTAGTCTGCTCATTTCCTGTTGTCCAAGCAGCCATAGTTGTGATTTCTCTCAGTGTTTGATCTCTTTTTCTTTTTAAAAATTTTTAAGAGAGTAGATCTCTCTCTCTCTCTTTTTAAAGATTTTGTTTATTTATTCATTCATAAGAAGCACAGAGATAGAAGCAGAGGCATAAGCAGAGGGAAAAGCAGGCTCTCTGTGCAGATCCTGATGTGGGACTAGATCCCAGGACACTGGGATCATGCCCTGAGTTGAAGACAGATGCTCAACCACTGAGCCACCTGGCACCCTCTTTCTTTCTTTCTAGATTAATTATTTATCTATTTGACAGAGAAAGAGAGCAAGCACGAGCATGGGGAGCAGCAAAGGGAGAGGGAGAAGCAGACTCCCCACTGAGCAGGGAGCCCAATGTGGGGCTGGATCCCAGGACCTTGGGATCAAGATCTGAACTAAAGGCAAATGTTTAACTGACTGAGCCACCCAGGCACCCCTCTCTTTTCCTTCCTTCCAGAAGAAGAAATATGTTGAAAAAGAAGGCGGTTTGTTAGATACTAACTCTTAAGGAAGTTGTACATCTTTCTTTCCCCTAGCCAAGGAGCCCGACTCACCACAGAGTGTGAACATATCTGTAATCTACAGGGATGAGTGCCTCGATGCCTATAAAACCCAAAGGATCCAAGAAAATATGCTGTGTCTGGGCATTGTGCCAGGAAGGAGGCTGCCCTGCAAGGTAATGTACTCTTGATGCCTAGTTTTCCCATTTTATTTCTTGTGTCTTTTGCCAGAAAGATAAGATAACCCTATTTCCCTTTTTATTCTGGCAGGAAGTCACAGCCGCCCCAGCAGTCTGCAATGGGGTACTTCAAGGAATATTGACTTTTTTAGATGGATGTGTTTTGAGAGCTGATGTTGGAATCTACACCAACATCTTTAAATACATGTCCTGGATTAGAAATACAATCAGAGACAACTGAGCTGCCATGGCAGGAATTCTAGATCATGTGACACAACCTGTGCCTATGTCCAGCCTCACAATTAAACCTAAATAGATACCCTGGGTTGCATCAGGCATGCCTGTCTCACTTCTACCCAACAGAGTGGGCAATTGGTACCTCCCCATACCATGACTATACATGATAATCTTCTTCCCCTTTTGATGAAGATGACAAACTCCATACCCCTTAGGCAGTTGAAGTTTATGAAGTGGGGATTGTGTTCCAACAGAGATCACAGGCTATGGGAAAAAGGCCCATCAGCCATTTTGGGTAATAAAACCCCTATTACTTGCACTGAATTAACATGTGCTTTTGGCAAGTTACCCATGCTAGAAGGGAAAAGGAAGCCTGACAAAGAGTGAGCTAACTAGAAGCATAGGTGAGGGAAAGAAAAGGTTCTAGGAAGGAGCCTCTAAGAGGTATTGCATAGTTTCCCCTTGCCTACGTAACTATCAAGAACAGCCATAGATCTTGCTCATTCATTTTGCAGGATTCTGGGTAGGGACTTGAGGGGTTAATACAAAAGTGAACTAGGGCATAGGACAAAGCAGATGAAACCGGGAGTCCAGGTCAGATTTTGCCAGTACATGCTTGCCCTTTCTCTTATGCCAGCTGCCACAGAGACTCCATTCTCTCCAACTATTACTGTTACATTTTTCTTCCTTCCTCCCTCTCTTTTCACCTCACCCCTGCAGTTCCAGTTACCGCGTGAGAGTCTTAATTGATAGTTACTGAGGATCAAAAGCACAGAAACCAAAATGATTTTTAGAGGGTTTTGCCCGTGGCCACTTTGGGTGGACTGTTGAAAACTTACAGTCCAGCGAGGGGACACGGGGGCTCCTCTCAGGAAGCAGAGTTTGCAGCTTGCAGAGTTAAAATGCAACATTTTGTGTTTGGTTTATTAAGGCAATTGTGAGAGCTTCACCTTCATGTGTGTTATTAACTGACATTTTAGCTATGGGATAAACAGATGGTTTTCGCAGGAGAGTACCTCACCCTCTGGGGATGTTTCCCACCTTAAAAATGGTGCTACAATTTCAATAGTTCATCCTGGTATCTTATAAGGCTAGCTGATTCTAGGTGATGAAGCATATGTCAAGGACACCGAATTCCATGGTCATCAGCCTACTGACTCACGACTGTCACTGTACAGTGACTTCCTTGGTTGGAAAATACATTCCTTTGTTATGGGGTACATAAGGGTTTCAGTTAATTCAAGGATGGTGGTGCTAGAAAGGTGACAAGGGATAGAAAAATCCAAATCTAGACTATATCATTTTTGGTGAGGAGAATAGCTATTCTCTCTGTGTTGAAAAGGGCTGCTGGGGGTACCTGGGGTACATACAGTACTACATCAAGACTATATCAAGGCTGAGATTGGTCATTGACACTGTCACAGGGGATCTGCAGCAATGGTGGTAGCAATGGTGAGACTTGCAGGGAGCCTGAATATGCTCCATCTGGACCCATTATATGTTTATGGAGCCACTAAAAAGCACGAGAGGGAATGAAGAAAGACTTCAGAATAGATCTGCTTATCTATCTGATTATTAAAGTCTCCCGAATCAAAAGCATTTTAGTGAGAGTTCTCATGGCATACAATATTCTCCTTCTCCAAACTCACCCTGAAAAATCCTACTACCTAATTTTCCCCTAAATAGCTAATCTCCATTCCTTCCACCTTCCCCCTTCTGATTACCTGTCAGGGCAGACCACAAGCCATTCCCAAGAAATTCAACCTCAGGGAAGAAAATAACCAGACGTGTTAATTGAATTTCTGTCTCCTGAGAAGAATGAGATTCTTCAGGGCATCCCTCTGAGGGGTTTTATTATCATAATAGTAGACATGCAATCAGTACCAATGTATCAACCAGTGAAGTCTTTCCACCCTCAAGAAACTGTTTATGAAGAAGTCTCTTTGAAGTCACTGTATGGCTTAAGGGAAGATTCCCTGGAGCAATTGCTTGGGCAATTTATTTGGACTTTCGGGGTCTAATTTACCCCTCTGGTCCACTTATACTCTGAGTTGGGGCTGGAATGTTGCTGGGCATATCCCAGTCACTGACAAAGAGTCAGGTGGCCCCACCTAGAGCAAGTTTCATGGCCAATTGGTGATCTGGAGTCAGGCATTTAGTCTCTACTAGACCCCAGTGGCAAACCAGAAGCTATTTCCCAAAAAGAGAAAAGGAGCATGACTTTGCCACCATCTTTTGGGACCCCTATCTTGATTTTATTAGGTTTTGCTGTGTCATTTAGTACACTAAAAATAATACTTCTAGAACCATTGAATCTACAGAGTTTTAAACCAAAGAAACAGAGCCAATTGTGCTTCAACCTGTGCTGGAGACAAAGTCTTTTCTGAATTAGTCTCTTTCTAACCTATCAACTTTCTAGATCACCCATGAAATGGTTCAGAGCAGGATACCCTGATGAGATATATGTTGCTTATAAAATTTAGAGGTCTTCAGATATCATTCTTCATAGTAGGGAGCACAAGTATAACAACGTGTTCATTTCAATAGAGGAATCCAACATATACCCACAAGGTTCACTAGTTATATCACCTACCCACTACCACACACCTGTCTTTCCAAGACACCCAGGAACCTTGCTACTTCCTGTCATCTCATCCTACCAACATGATATCATCAATACAACAGATCAGTGTGGTGCGCTTGGAGATTTTCAAGTTCCTTAAATACTATATTCAGGTTCAGGAGCAGAGCAATGATGACTGCCTGAGCATGGAGGTAAAAATATACTGTTGTCCCTGACAAATGAAAGCTAATTAAATTCTGAGCTTCCCAATGCAATGTATAAAAATACATTTTCCAGACAGATAGTTGCATACTGAGTGTGAAAGACTGCATTTATTTGCTCTAGTAAGGTCCCACATACGAAACAACCACTATAATTGGACTTACCATGTGATACTCAAACACTATCATTCCCCACCACTCTTTTATGACATGGCCAACTGAAGAACTGAATGACATTATAATACAAATTATCACCCAGCCTATTTCAAGTCTGTATAGTCAGGTAGTACTGACCTTTCCAATGTGCTGATGTTTTAGATTTACTAAGGGGAAGTTCCATCAACTTTCTCTTAGCCCTTTCTATAACAAAAGCTCACTTCACAGCCCTGAGGCATATTGTACAGACTCTAACCAGTTGTAGAAAAAAAATTACCCCTTGTAACTCTGCCAGTGCACATAGGAACTATGGAAATAAATTATAGATGGTTTCAGAGCCCCATTGAATTACTCTAGGGAAGACTTAGGTAAAAAAAAAATCCATTTATCCCTCAATTTTCATAAGCTCCACTCTGATCAGAGGATAGCACTGATTATAAGTCTTCCCCACCACCACAAACACCACAAATTGGTACCAATTCAGAACCAGAATCTCAAAAAATTTAGCTATGTTCTCGTCCCTAGAACACAAGTCACCAAGTAAGTTGATCCAGGTCATCTTGTATGGGCTGGAAGGAAGACTCAATGTTAGAACAAGGTTCATTCATTAGGATATCAGGTTCCCCTGCATTCAGTTGAGCATTGGATCAATTAAGGTAACTAGCTGAGGCTTGTGACCTAGGAAGGAGCCCCTAATCAGTCCATTATTATCAAATCTGTCAAGTGTTTTTTTGTTTGTTTGTTTGTTTGTTTGTTTGTTATATAAGTCAAATAAGAACTTGAACTTCCTGTCAGGTTCATTCCTGAGGATCCCATTTTTGTGGAGAACCCTCGAAAGAATCCTCTAAAGGGCTCCAAAACACACTAGCTAATATTATTTGTTTCCATTTTAAGAGTAAAAGAGGCAAATGAACATAATAACATGATGTTTCGTCTATTTTCCTTAAACAAGTTAAACTAAAATCTGAGATGCCCTTTAGCAGGGGACAAAGGCCACTGTAAGGGGAAAACATGACATCTGTAAACTTCTTCTGCACAGCCTCTTTGTTTATTTGAGCTTTATGTCTTTAGTAGAAAATATGGTAGGCTCCATCACTCAATATATCCTGAATCTTTCTAATTTTCTAATCTTTCTAACCTATATCTTTCTAATTTTAAGTTGCAGCCTTGGGAATCCCATGTTGTCATGTATCTAAGTCATATTTTCCATCAGCTCTATAAGTAACATGGCCAGAAATTTCCCATCCCAGCTGCCTTACTCCTTTGTCTCTCTCAAGTTGTCAGAATTTAAGTGGAGAAAATAGGAGGACTCATTCAAAAGTTTCCTCCAATCATAATAACATGTTAGGATTTGGACAGCATGTTGTTCCATTGAGTAAGGGGTGGTATCCCCTATAACCACTGTTCTCAAGGCTGCAAAGCTATGATTCCAAAAGCTACCTAAGGATGGAGGATGAAGATGGCCAGAGTCTTACAAAAACAAGGTGAAAATTAGGCTAGAGCCTACACTTGTGCACAGAAATTAATGCCAGCTACTATATTGATGAGACTTTCAAGACTTCATACAATTTGTAATTTTTCTCTTACACATTCATTTCAAGGACAGGAGGATTTCAGAAACCATAAAATGAGCTCTGTTCAATAGAAAATCAGGGTGGAAAAAAGCCTTGATTTGAAGTCACTGGCTATAACAATTGGAGTAGAATCAAGGTGCCCACTGGAAGCTAAAGATGGGAATTAGAGAAGCTGGCCTAGGGTCTGACACTGGCAAGGAACTCCAAGATCATCACTCCAAGGCCCTTTGAAGACTCAGAAGTCCTAGGTATCTTCATTATTCCACTCTGAGGTTTCCAGCAGCTATTTTGACTAAAATCAAACCAATGTTTCTTGTCTCTCTCTCCCAGTCTATGATTTGTTGTTTGTTGTTGTTGTTGTTGTTGTTGGTTCCTTTTAAAGAGATTATGATGTGTTAGTAAATCACATGTAGGATTTGCTTCAACTATAAAATGTGCATCCAAATTTGCTTTTGCCTTGCTCTCTGTAGCTCCAAACCCCTACCTTGAGGCATTTAGTTGGCACATCTATAACCTCAAGAGCCCCATCTACAATAGCAGCCCAAGACATGGGTCCAGTACCATTCTTGGTTGAAAGAAGTTTAGCTCATCACCAAACCAAACTTGCTGGTATACTCTCTTACCCAAACAGCTCAGCTTTAGTAACTGGGCTTCTGTTCTGTTCCTGCAGTGAAGCCCCCTTCCCACCTTCCCCTACCTTTTTAAAATCCCAGTTCCATTAATGCTGTCTTTGTCTTGACAACCTTGTCTTCCCCAGTTCCTCTAAGCCTAGGGCTCTGCCCATACAAGGCCAGCTTCTTGCTGTTAACAACTTCATGCTGCGGATTACCTGCCATATAGCCAGTTTTCCTGGCCTGCCGCCCTCTACTGGCCACCTGCCTGACTTCCCTTCCACCTTCACTCCAGGGTGCTTTGCGGTCTGGATTCTGATAGCCTAGAATCTGACTCTTCCCTGTGATTGTTATCCCCTCACTCTGATTTCTACCATCTGCCCTTTAGTGTGAGTTTTTCTCATTTCTAGATCCTCAAAAGGATGATCTTGGGCTTAGCGCAGCTGAAAAAGCATGGGTTTGGGATCCAATTTGGTATTTAATCCCAACTCCCATAGCTGGTAGCTATGTGTCTTTAGGCAAGGAATTAAGAAATTTAACCTGTCTTATTTTAGTTTATCTCTAAAATGGGACCAATAATACTTTTCTGGATTGTTGGGAGTAAATAAGATAACTTACGTAAGACATGAAGCATAATATTTAGCACATAACATGGTAGGCACTTAAATCTTTGCCAAGGGATTACTGGTAATCTGTCACCACTTCTTTACATCTGTGTTTATCTTTCTTCAATTAGGATAGAAACTATTTTCACGTCCATGCACACAATCCATCAGGTTGTATCAGAGCACGAAAGAACATTCTAACAAAATTTACCAATATACCTTTCCTCAGGGGTCAGGCCCCTGTGCCTTTCCCAGCCTGTGTGGGAGAAGTCTTAGGCATAAAGGACAGAGAGGCAGTTTTGCAGTGTTATTGTCTTTCTTTGTGTAGAGACCTAAAATTATAAGTGCAATGTAAGTCCATTATAATATCATTTAGACAGGTGATTGCCAGGTAGGGCTGCTCTGTTTCTGAAGTGTTTCCATGATCTCAGACAGCCTAAACACTGATTGCATATAATGAGGAGAACCCACAAAAGTAGAAAAATAAATTTAAAGTCACAATCCTATTATGTTATTTTGTGAAGTTTTCAAGTGTGCTATACTTTCTCCTCAGTTTAGTGAACTGCTAATCCATGTCGGGACTGTCTACCAAACGGTCTATGCAGTTTATCACAGTTTACCCTTAACAAGCTCCACCAGTGTGTAAAGACAGACATGTGCCTAAACTCAAAGGACTTGCATGGATCCTGAAGCTCTAATAGTTATTAACCCACTATCAACTCCCTCTTCCCAAGTCCACCTGTATCTAAGCCCTTACCTTCACATTAAGCCCACGCTTGCTCTCCTGCTCAGGGGCCCTGAAATGATGGCATAGGGGCCATAGACATGGGCTAGGTTTCTGTTTGGAATCTGAATTATAACAAAAACGTTCATCTTCCTTCCTCTGCCTCTCGGAGAGGCAAGTGAAACTTTGAGCTCATGCTTTCTGCTCTCCAAGGACCTTCTTAATGAGGGAATAAAGCAAGTAAGAAGAGGGGTAAGATTTGGAGGAGACACAGAAGAAACATGCATCATATTTCTTGAAAATTCACACCACATCTGGTAAAATACTGAAAATGGAGTGGGTATTCTCTGCATGTCGATTAACTGAGAGGATGCCTAGGAGAAAGGAGAACAGAGAGACGGCTGCCTTAGGTGAGTATATTCACCTGCCAGTCCTGCAGTTCCATGATCTTAAAACTCACCCGAACTATGGAGATACTACAGAGCAGGATTTAATTTACACAATCATAAAATATATTACTTTCCCCTCCAAATGATTAGATGTGATTAGTGTAATTCCATCTGTTCCTATCTGGACCTGTTGAGCCCCAGGACAAGTCTGCAGGGTACTTAGTGTCTTTTCGGGACACTTATCTGACCTGCTGCCATGTCGTGTATGGACTTCTCTGTGCTCTCTGACCATGTCTGTAATGTGATGGAAGCTGCCTTTCTGGAAGGGGCAGAGATGCCTGCCATGTCACACTTCTCTAATTAGGGTGACAATGTATTCAATTCAAAAAAAGGCAGCATCACAAGGTGTGGAGAGTCATAGATCTGACTCAGAATTCCTGTACCTGAGTCCTGGCTGTCCTACTATTAGTTACGTGACATCAGGCAAGGTGTCCAAAGTGTCCCAGGCGTCAACTATCCATTTCCCTATTAAAATAAAAACAACCAGGGACCTCTGGATGGCTCAGCAGTTGGGCGGCTGCCTTCGGCTCAGGTTGTGATTCTGGGATCTGGGATTGAGTCCTGCATCAGGCTCCTGCAAAGAGCCTGCTTCTCCCTCTGCCTGTGTCTCGGCCTCTCTCTCTATCTATGTCTCTCATGAATAAATAAATCTTAAAAATAAAATAAAATGAAAACAACAATAAAAAGCAAGAAATGGTGGTCCTTGCCTAATTGGGCATTTGAAACTATTGACCAAGAAAATGAAGTTAAATATATTTCTGAAAGACATGGTCAAATCACTCACAGCGGCCTGCAGACTGGAGGCTACACCACATAGACTGGTATTTCCTATCTGAATAATGACAGATGAATAGCATGATCTAATCAAAAAGCATTGTTTGGACCTTTACCACCTGCCAATCCAGGAGGGCTAGTTTGATCATCAAGGAATCAAGGGTTCTGGCAGTGGTCTTAAGGCATAGTCATGGTCCAGGCGAGCAGTGTTGCATCTGGGAAGTCTCCAGGGAGCTCCCAGGACAGAGGTTGAAGGGATTCCATCAGAGCATTGGCGCCTTCGGTCACTACAGAGGTGACTTGGTTGTAGTTATTTCAAGAGCTGCTAGTGGAGGCCTCAGCTTTCCTTGAGAGCAGGTGGTCCAGGGACGCCTGGGTGGCTCCGTCCATTAAATGTTTGCCTTCAGCTCAGGCCATGATCTCAGGGTCCTGGGATCAAGCCCCTGGCGGGCTCCCTGCTCAGCGGAGAACCTACTTCTCCCTTTCCCCCCTCCCACTTGCACTCATGCCCACATGTTTTTTCCCAAATATATATGTATATATCTAAATTAAATATTATATATATATATTTTAAAAGAGTAGGTGGTCCAGGCCTCTCTGCCCTGCCATCTCTGTATTTAACAGCCTCTTGGTGATCTCTAGACCGAGGATCTTCAAGGATCTCCCGATGAGGGCCTTTTCAACAGAGGTACCCTTCCTGGACGGAGGAGAGAACACAGGTATCCAAATGTCTCCGGACGCTGCGCCAGGCTCCAGACCTACTCCCCATCACTCTTGTCCTCTGGAGCTGGGCAGGCGGTCACCAAAACAGCTGAGTGGGGTTGCCAAGAGAAGACAACACCTTGGAGTCAGGACAGACCCAGGCAGAGCAGAGCATGGAAAACTATGGGCAGATGGTTCCCCCTGGTGGACAAAACTCCTCCCTCTCCACGAGCGGAGAGGAAAGTGCTTGCCTGCTGCTCTGGGCCACAGCCACCCAGATGGCCACCAGAGACCCAGCATTGAAATGTCTTCTCGTTCTCTCCCACCTTGCACCCCGGGTACCTGCTCATCTGCTTTGAGATAGAGATGCTCCTACCTGGCAGCGGAGTGGCACTGCCACAGCCGCCTGCCACCTCCCATCTCTGTAGGGCTCTCACCCGCAGTGCTCCTGCCTGCTGCTTCTGGGATCTGCGTCTCCTTGTTCCACCCTCACTCTGTGTATGGCCTTGCTCAGGTGGCAGGCCCACTTTTTTTTTTTTTAAGATTTTATTTATTTATTCCTGAGAGACACAGAGAAAGAGAGGCAGAGACACAGGTAGAGGGAGAAGCAGGCTCCCTGCCGGGAGCCCAATGCGGGACTCGATCCCAGGACCCCAGGATCATGACCTGAGCTGAAGTCAAGACCCAGTTCTGAGCCATGGCTTTTTGGTCAATGTTTGGTGAGCCCTCACCATGGACCCAGACCGTGGTCCTTTCTAGGTCAGGCTCCCTCTGTGAGGATATTACTTTTAAAAAGATCAACTTTAGTTGATCAGTGAGTGAGACGTCTAGGTGGTGGTGAGCACTGAGTATGGGGATCTATTGGAAAAGTGGGTGTTTAGGGGTGTGAGTGAGGGGCTACACCCTGAGATACTCCTTCTTCCTCCTTTCTGAGCTTCCAGAATTTCTCCAGGTTTCTTTCCAGCACCCCTTGGGGGCGTTGATACTGGTATTAAACCCCAAATGCTTGTTACCTAGGCCAACTGTGGAGAATCATGCCCTTTGATCCTCACAGCAAGCCTCTGAGCTGGGTAGAGTTACCGCCTGTACTTTACAGGCACAGAAACCAAGATTCAGGGAGATAAAGTCTTTCCCAAAGCTCTCAAGTGGCAGAGCCAGGTCCGGAACGGAGCCCCCCAGAGCCTGGGGTTAAATCTCTGTGCTAGGCAGCCAGAGCGTTCCCCAAAAGGGCCATGGGCAAGCGGTAGGAAGTGTCTGCTTGTAGAGGAGAGGCAACAGGAAGGAGGTGGGGGAGCGGAGGAGGAGTCAGGTCAGAGGAGGAGGAGGTTGGGTCTGTGGCTGGCAACCCAGGATGGTTTGTATTCACTTGTCCAAGGGGAGTTTCTCACTGTGTCTTTACTGCAGGTGCAGTACAGGGTTCTGCTCTGGGTCACATTGGCCACGTGCAGCCTCAGCTCCGTGCTGTCGACCCTCGTGGCCCGGTAATCTGCTCCAGGACGGGATACGAGCTCCTCGTCCCCGGGGCTCCGCAGAGTGGCCAGCACCTGCAGTTGCCCCTGGAGATCCTGTTGGTACCAGCTCATCCAAGGGTACTGGGAATCTCTCAGGATGCAGTGCAGGGTTTCAGCCTGCCCACGAGCTACCAGGACCCAGCGGGGCCTTTGCTCCACCAGGCTTGCAGTGGCATCTGAAAAACACAGGCCAGGGTAAAGGTCCCCAGGGTAGCAGTAACTCCTCAAATAACCAGTCAAATCCCAAAGAGGGGGGCCCATGAGCAATGCCAATAGGAGACTCCTGGAAACGGAAGGAATGCTTTCTCGTAGGGGTGCTATGCCGGGGAGGGCTTCAACAAGCCTGGAATCAGAGAGCAAAACCTTCTGCACCTACTAGTCCTTGCCCTCCCTCAACCCCTGGAGTGGCTTCTTCTGCCTGGCATCTGACCTGTACTCACGGTAGCCATGAGCACCCAGCCCCACAGGATGGAAAACGGTCCCATTCCCTGGCCCACACTTTCGCCAGCAGGGCATCGGGCAGCAGCCCGGAGAGCCGGATCCAGGTCTATGAGGAGGCCGTGAGCAGCTGACACTCTAGGCCTGAAACTCAAGAGGGAGTGGCTTTTCCAGGAAACGTGACAGTTTGTCTCATTTTCTCACTGAGGTTCAAGTCCCCTGACGTTCCCTGCTTTCTGCCTGCCAACAGCCCTCACACAGGCAGGCACACACTCCCCATATTCACTGAGTGCCTCAGTGAGGTTGTGTGGCCCTGCACCCTCTCCACCACCGTGTCCCAGAGATTCTGAACACGGACACTAGTGGTTCTGAATCTGTGCCTCAAACCTTTTCGAGGGATTCCAACATCTCAATGCAAGCGAGCAGGCCGGCAGATTGAGCAAAGACCTCTCTCCCCGCCATACATTTCACACATAGAGGCTGGGCAGTAGGCAATGGGCTTTAGAGAGTCGCCTCTCTAAGGGCAACTAACACACTAAACATTAGAGACTTAATTTTTCCCTGTTGAAAATAAGGGAAGAGACTTACCTCCTACCCATTTCTTTAGAGGATTTACTGTAGAAAACTTGTAATTTCAAGTTCCCTCTCTTTGAAATATATGTAAATCACCCAGAAATGTTTTTCTCCAAGACCTGCAATCACCTCTTTGAAATGCAAACATCAAAATGAACCTCACTTAATGTAGAGAGTTAAGTTGCAAAATGATGCCCTGTTGTAAAGACGTGGCAAGATTGCTTGTCCTTTGGGTAAAGCAAATTAGCAAACCCAGATGGACACCCCCCAGCCCCCCAGTAAGCAAGTGACTCCAGGATGTCTTGTCCAGTCCTCTTATTTGAGGACTCGTTATCACTCTATCTCAAGAACGTGTATGTAATGGGTTGTGTCTGGTGGCCCATATGAAAGGGGGATTTCTGCTGGGATTTCTGCTTTTGCAATATCCCCATGGAATGCCTGGGATGTGAATCATATTCTGGTTTAATGCTTATTCAATGATAAGACTGCTTTCTTTCTCTTCTACTTCTGGGGAGAGAGTTCCTGACAACGCCCAGTGCTGGCACTACCTAGCGCTGGGGCCTTGGGACTCAGTTTCCCCATCTATAAGATGGAGATAATAATGATTTCATAAGAGTAAATAGATTCACACAAGAAAAATTCTTGGAATAGAGTTTGGCACAGGCTGAGCGCTTAGTGAGAGTTGGCTTCTGTCACTGCAGTGGTAAATTGCCAATTCAATTTACATATGACAATATTAATGGCAGCATTTATCTTCCTTTCTTTATCTCTCCCTTAGTCATCAGCTGAGATGAAAATCACAAGCTCACATAATTTTCCAACATCGCTAAGAGGCCTCGTTTTTCAGAAAGTTTGGAAACCAGTGATCTGGGAAATTAGATTTAAAAAGACCCTCTCTTTACCTTCAGCCTTTCACAGACAAAAATATGGGGACATATAGGAGTCTAGCAACCAAACTACTATTTTAAGACCTCGGGTCGCACTGTATTCAGGTCGGTGCTCCAGTGAGGTGTCTGTGCTTTCAGGGACCCTTGAGGAAGAAGAAGGGAGATGGAGCCAGGCGAGACTGCAGACCCCTCACCCTGGGGAGCCTGCACGTCAGGAAACAGCTGGGACCTGGTGTCCTGGGGCTTTGCGTCTCCCAGATTCACTATTTTTGTTAATCTGCGAAATTATAATCACTTCCAACAATATGGTTCACATGATTGTAGGGAAGGATAACAGGTATTGATGCCATGTGGTGATGGCATAATAGTTTGTAATCCAGTTGGCTTGATAACTTTGAAGTCCTGTTGTTCTGGATTTTTTTTTTTTTTTTTTTTAGAAAAGACACTCTTTTTCTGGGGTGCCTTGACGGCTCAGTCTTTCAGCATCTACTTCAGCTCAGGTTAAGACCTCAGGGTCTTGGGATCAAGCCCGCTTCAGGCTCTCTGCTCAGTGGGGAGTCTCGTCCCCCCGCCCCTCTGCCTCTCCCCCTGCTTGTGTGCTTTCTCTCTCTGTGTCAGATAAATAAATGAAATCTTTTAAAAATAGACACTCATTTTCATTATGTACAATTTTGTGTATAAAGTGAGTTAATATTTTCAATAGCAGATGATTTCAAATTTGCATCATCTAATTGTGCACGAAACGTCAATTGCCCTGCATTCTAAGTCACATGCGCTGGTCCCCTTCTGCCGTGAGCTCTCTTACCTATTCCCAATCTCTTCTCTCCAGAGAGGGTGGAAGGGTGATGCTCTGGGAAGCATTGCCCAAACCACACATCTTGAACACCAGAAATATGTACATGCCAACCCAGAGGCATCCTCACCCCGCAAGCCATGTGCATTGCATTTTGAGTTTACCGTGGAGAGAGTGGCTCTGGGGATCAGAGGATGGAAGGGAAGAAGGCCGGGCAAGGGGAACAAACCATAACTAGGTGAAAAGGTCAACAGACAGAGAAAAATCCTGCCAGTGGCCAGAGGGAGCCCAGGAGCAGATACTCTGAGGCTGCAGGCACTGGCTCCCTGTCCCCCCCTCAGGCAGGTAGATAGATTGCACGATAAGGGATCTGGCCGCATCTTGGTTTACAGGGCTGGCTCACCTGTCTCCCTGTCGCCTCCTCCCTTAGCCTTAATCCCCAAATGCGATTGGGATCAGAGTGTCTCTGACACTCCTGTTATCTCCTCCCTGGATTCCCGCTCCTCAAGGTCAGGCTCCTCCTCTGGTCTTGGCCCTACTCCCAACCTGGGCCAAGGTAAGCCTCTTCCTTCCAGATGGCTGCCTAGCAACCTCCCTGCTCCCATGCCCAGAGTTGGGCATTATGGTTGCTGCCTTGGGAAATGGATTTTTTCTCCTACTGCACCATAACTCCTACCCAGGTGCTCACAGCAGCTGCCAACAACCTCAGCTGGGTCCTTACCAGCTTTGATGAACTCAGTAGATACTGAAAAGAGTGTGCAGGCCGTGACTAGAGGCATAAACAGATGCTCCAGTTCCTGTCCACCCCCCCAACCCCACCCCCCTTTGAGATGAATTCCCATGTGATGTGTGGTCCAGTTTCTGTGCTGGGAGACGATACCTCCTGGGCACAAGTCCTTGTTAATTTTTCAGTGCTCCTCCATTGTCTGATGGAGAAAGGACACTGGGGGGAAATGAGGCAATTCCAGCTCTGCCTCAGCTGTGTCAGAACCTGGACAGAGAAACCTCCAGGCATCGAGTGAGTCCCTTCCCCAAGAAGCAATCAGCAGATGACAACTCCCTCCATCAGGGCAAACCTCGGTGGGAAGGCATGGCGGGTGGCCAGGTGCCCCGTGGGTGTCTGTAACCTAAGAAAATAATGGAAAGAGCACTGGCTGGGGGGGGGTGGCAGGACCCCTGTGTTCTGGTACTAGCTCTGCCTCTGACCAGATAGGGGTTCAGGCACTACTCATGTTACCTCTGGGTATTTAATTTCCCTTTCCTCATCTAAAAATTAAGTGGATCTAAAATTCCTTTTCACTCTGGTGAATATTCTAACATTCCTTCTGTGCTTTTATGGTTTGAATACCGAGGCACTTGCCAGTGAGGACCCTGGGCCAAGCCCTCAGTGGAGCGAGAGTCACTAAATGCCCTGGCAGGCAATTCATGTAACAAGGGTAGAGCACCAAGCCTCCCAAGGGCCAGTTTACACTTATCCCCCAATCTCTCCCTCTTCCCCCCTCCCCTCCTCCTGCTGCTCCCCAGGAATGTGCAGAAACTCAAGGCCACCCCAGACTTGCCCATCTGGAAAGCTGATTATGGCTCCTTCACCTCTATGTGTCCTTCCAGGGATTAGTAGCTAAGACTCCTCCGAGAGATGGAAATCATCACCTTCCCTGAACGCCTCCTCTAAAACTTCTCTCCTTCCTCTGCTGCGTGTAATCACTCTCGCCCCCACCCTCTGTTCTGCCCCAGTTCCAGATATAGAAGATGCCCATAACAGCTGGGGTGGGGGGCAGGTGCCAGAGGGCAGAGTGTTCACTAAGGACATCCAAGGACACAGGGATGGGGGTTGCAGAAAGGGAGAAAGACAAGGAAGGAGAGGCAGGGAAAAACCAACCCCTCCCCTGATTCTGCAGGGTCCCCATTGGCAGGACACTGGCATGGGGTTGGGGTGCAAGAGTCTAAATGATCTATTCCCGAGAATTTTGCGTCAGGACCCTGCTCCAGGGCAAGGGCTATCTTCTCTGTACCCTCTCTGGACACTCATACCTCCAGAGTTATGTAAGCGGCACCACTCTGAATCCAGAGGATAATCATATCAGAAGAGCCCCAGTCTGTCCCTCCCCCATGGCACAGTGCCTGGCACAGGTAGGGGCACATATAAACCCATACTTCCTGCGTGTCCATCTGTAGGAGAGATGCTCCAGACCCCAGGAGCCATGACTTGTGCCCTTCTCTTCAGGCTTCTCCTACTTACGGCCCTGGTAGTCCCCTCCCCAGGCAAAGGCCTTGGTCCCACATCTCGCCTGCGTTATTCCAGGTTCCTAGATCCGTCCAACGTCATTTTCCTGCGCTGGGACTTTGACCTTGAGGCTGAGATCATCACTTTTGAGCTGCAGGTCCGGACAGCTGGCTGGGTGGGCTTGGGTGTCACAAATCGTAACACCAGAATGGGGAGCGATCTGGTTGTTGGAGGAGTCCTGCCCGACGGCAACGTCTATTTCTCGGTAAGTCTGAGGGTGGCCCCCTTCCATGGATGAAGGTCCCTTGCTGAGTTGAGGATGGCTCTGAGTCCAGGAAGGATCCACATTTTCCAAACATATCCAGGCCCATGCCCAGAACACCAGCTGACTGCTGACCTCTCCCTACAGAAATGGTCCTTTGGAGAGTTTCCAGACAAGGCCTTCCAGGCTCCATGGTCCTAAGGTGCTAAGAAATGGAATCACCGGACTGAGGGAGTCCTGCACCACTAAATGCAGGGCAATGGGGGAGAGTCCATGCTATTGGTGACCCAGTCTCCAGCCCTAATTCC